CTCAATACTAGCATGCAATTCTCAATAAGCTGAAACACATATAACAGGCACATAAGGCATCCTCCTAGATCCTTTGTCCTATTCTAGCATGTTGTTCTTAACTGAAACTGGAACTGATAATTATAACATAACATGATCTTGTATGAGTAATTTGGGAGTAGTTACTTGAGCTCGGTTGATCGCATGCACCACACCCTTTTCCTTTTCTCAAAACTCTTTCTTTTTAAGTTTTCTTTTTCAAAAATTCCTTTGAAAACATTTTTCTTTTGAAAATCTCTCTTTTTTTTTTTACCATTTCCTTAGTTTGAGTCCAGTCACACCCGAGAGTGTGCCTGAATCCCTCAAACCAAGGCTCTGATACCAACTTGTAACATCCCAAAATACGACCCAAAAATTTTTGTTTTAATATTACTAAAAATCACATCATCAAATGTCATACATACTAAGAACCATAGAATGAGTAACTCAAAAGTCAAGTAACCGTGTCAAAACAAATATTGTATCAATCATATCAAAATATTTGAATAAAACTCCCAGGATAAAACTGAAGCGGTGGTGTGTGCCATGCCATCATCCCGAGCTCTTCCCCTTACTTGCGGAAGTACCTGAAACCAAAAACTGAAACTGTAAGCACAAAGCTTAGTGGGCTCCCCCAAACTACCACATACCATACAATAACATATGAAACAATTACTGGGCCTTGCCCACTGCATCAGACCGAAGTCCGGAAACTGCATCGGACCGAAGTCCGGAACTAACCAGGGCCTTGCCCTCTGCATCGGACCGAAGTCTGGAAACTGCATCGGACCGAAGTCCGGAACTAACCAGGGCCTTGCCCTCTGCATCGGACCGAAGTCCAGAACTAACCAGGGCCTTGCCCTCTGCATCGGACCGAAGTCCGGAAACTGACTGAGCATAGCATAGCATAATCATAACTACTAGCATAAACACAGATACTGCATACTGCATCGGACCGAAGTCCGGAACACATAACACAAAGACATGCTTGAATCACAAAGACATCAAGCACACTGAACTACTGCATCGGACCGAAGTCCGGAACTACTGCTAACTAAATGGGCCGGTATTGTGGCCGTAGACCCGTTCCTACTGGAAGGAAACTCACCTCGTAACGCTGGCTGCCGAGATGCTAAATCCGAGACTGCCTGACTGCTGCTCCGGAACTCCCCGGCTAAAAATCCCATAAACACTAAATCAATTACTGATTACTAATCTCAGGGTAAAATAACTATTTTACCCCCTGGTCAAAGTCAACTCCCTGGTCAAAGTCAACTTCCTGGTTGACTCTACTCGCCGAGTCCTACTATGAACTCGCCGAGTTCCCGGACTCACACTTCTCTAACTCGTGACTCGACTCGCCGAGTCGGGACATGGACTCGCCGAGTCCCTCTACTTCCAGATCCTTGTTCTAACTCACTGAGTCCTCTTCCACTCGCTGATTCAACTCAAAATTCCAAATTCGGAGAAATCGGGAGGATTGCACTCCGACTCGCCGAGTCCAAGAGCAACTCGACGAGTCCTATGCATGTCCTCCCTAAACAGTTGATTCTAATCGATTTCAGTGCATCCAATTCATAGATCTGGGTTCCTAGGACTGATTTCACACGTTAAGTTTCTAACTTTACGTTCATGCATGCTCATGATAAGCTAAAATGCCCAATAAGGAGTTAAAAGAGGAGATCTAGGTTTGGAATGGGTGCTTAGCTCAATAAATGTGGCAACCTTGAGCTTAAGGAGCCCTGAAATGCTTAGATCTGAAACCCATTCGACTTAACTACCCATAAATTGACCTCAAAGCCTAGAAAAGGCTCAAAAACTATACTAGCAAGCTTTTAAGGAGATCTACATAATGATAAGCCAAGATTCAAGCTTTATACCTTAATGGATGCTGGAATGACACAATAAACTCAGATCTTCTTTGCTTCCTTTGAGAACTCATCTTCTCTCTTCTTCTTCTAACTTCAAAATGCTCCAAAACCTTCACAAAATGAGAAATATTCCAACAATGCTTAAAGGGAGGCTAGGGTTTAGTGAGGGACGTTCTGAGGGTGATGGAGGCTATTTTGGGGCGCATACTATTGTTTAAATAGGGTGCAAACCCTTGAAATTAAGATTTCATCCAGACTGGCAGACTCGCCGAGTCCGAGGATATGGACTCGTCGAGTTGCCAACTTAAACCGCGTGCCAACTCCCGTCTCTACTCGACGAGTCGGGCTACTGACTCGTCGAGTACCCCTTAAGAAATGAAAATTTACTTATTAAATCACATACCAGAAATGGGGCGTTACAGAATACCTCACATTAACATTTTCAGCAACACTATGAAACTGAGGTACACTAGGAGTCATGAACGTACCTATTGTGTAACATCTGGTTTTCAAGTATTTTTATTTTAATCATTGGCTTAATTAAAGGTTGCATATTTGGCCCTTTATGAAAAAAGCCTTGCATTTCAGCCCGTACGCTAGGCGTACGTGAGGTACGCGCAACGTATATGTTCGATACATGGAAACGCGAGATGCATGCTAGTACGCTGGGCGTACATATGGTACACAAGGCGTACTAGGTCAGCTCCTAAACCCTAAATTTAGGGGTTTGCGCCCTATTTAATCCACCTTATGCCTCCCTTGGACATTTCTTATCAGCCTCCACTCCTTACAAACCCTATTCTCGAGCCTAAGCCTTGTGTGTAAAGATTTTGAAGATTGTTAGTGATTTTGGTGCTCTCTTGTAGAAGAAGAAGACTATTGAAGAAGGTGGTGTTGCTTGCAAGCTTGTGGATCCAGAAACTACCTCACCTTGTGCATCTTTTGAAGGTATAAAGTTTATACCTTGATGTGTTTCTTTCTAGATCTCTTAAATGGGTTATTATGAGCTTTTTTTGTCCCAAGCTTGGATCTTTGTGAGTATGGTGCACCCCAGAGCTCATTAGTTGTCCTTTATGTGTTTTAGGTCTTGTAGATTCATAATTTTTTTTGCTTGAAGGTCCCTTTCTTCCCATGCAAGAGTGTAATGGTTTTGGGTATGATTTAAGTTAGGGTTTTGAGGTTTAAGCTTATTTCATCCACGCAAAGGCTTAAAGTTATGGACTTTATGGATTAAGACGTTCTATGGAGGTCAGATCTATGTTTGGATTGCAAGTCTTAATGATTAAGACGTTTGGGAGTGATTTTTGGGATCAGACGACGTACGCCCCCAACGTAGTCAGGCTCGACCCTAACCCATCTGATTCTTCGAGTATGCGACGCGTAGGAAGCGTACGCCCAACGTACGTGTTAGGCGGTTGACTTTTCCTGACTTTTTACTTTGGTCAAGGATTTAGGGTTTTGGACCATGGAAGGGGTAAAATGGTCTTTTTGCCCTCAAGGAGCGTAGTTGTGGGAGAATGACCTTAATTACTAATTAAGGTTAATTATTGTGTTATTAGGCGGAGTCTAGTTCCGACAGTTCGGGCGTGAGATTTATCTGTCATCAGTATCAGGTGAGTCTCCTCACTTATTCTTACATGTATGGTAGAATAGTTGTATCTGTGATGACCAGTTGGGTCTAGCTGTTATTATTGTGTTATGTTGTTTATGTGTGACTAAGACTTTAGGTAGTCTCCAGGGTTGCTGATAACCCACATGGCATGCTGTTTGCCCACTGGGAATGCTGATAGTCCCAGGGTTGCTAATAACCCATAGTTATTTATTTATGATGTGTTGTATGTGGTATCTTGGGGAACTCACTAAGCTTCGTGCTTACAGTTGTTGATATATGTGTTTTAGGTACCTTTGAGGATCGCGGAAAGACGAAGGTCTGGTTGTACACACTCACTGAGAGATTTGTTACTGAGCATTTTGTGGGACTCTGATGTTTTGTGATGATGATTTGTATTTGATACTTGTGTTTTTCCGATAACTTGGTTTATGAACAATATTTTGGGTAATTTAAAAATGAAAAATTTGGTTTGAAATTTTAGGTGTTACATATTGGGTTGTTGCTCCCTTTATCGTTGCATAAGTTAGTAACCAACTCATTTCCTCTCTTGCCACCCTCCGTAACCGCATCACCTTCATCAACCACCACAAACACTTTTCACAACCCTTCCTCCAACCGATTTGATTACGTTGATCAATATTCTAACATCAAATTCTTCAACTATGGCTATATAATGATCCAATTCAGGATGATGGAAACGAAGACTAATTTTATATCTATCTAACAAACCGATTTTCATTTTCACCAAAGATATAAAATCACTGTAACTAATATACTCGGAAAATATCAAAGCGAATTCAAGAATACCTCCCCTGTGGACATACATATATTCAATATTTGTTTCCACAACTTCTCACCTCCCACTAGTTACAACGCAAACCAAATATTCATTCATTTTATTAGAGAAGTTTTAACCAAATTTTCCAAAGAAATAACAACTAAAATGATAATTTTTTGCAAGACTTTATATATAATATGGTTGTTTCGTAGTCAGACCCTATCAATTTCGTAGTCAAAATAAAATATTTTTTTTAATAAAATTGCGCAAAAATCGCATTCGCAGATAAACTAAGTTCATCTGCGATTTTAGTGAGGTGTGAGGGTATTTATACCGGAAAAAATAAAAAAAAACCATCTGCGAGCGTACAACTCCTAATGTGCGTCCGTGCTTTACCGACTTGTACATTCGCAGATCAATGGGCGAAATCGTAGATGGACTTAATCCATCTGCGATTTTGATGGTTATTTTTGTAATGTTGGTTTTTTTTTGGCTATTTTCTGCAAAATAATAAAAAAAATTGGCTATTTTTATAATTTTCTCATATAAAAATAATAAAAGATATTTATAAAAATATATTGTATTTGTTCATGAATAAAATTTCTTTGGAACATTTTGCATTTTTTTTAGCCCCCCTCCCCCCCCCCTCGAAAACGCGTTTAAACCGAAAAAAGCAAAATCACAAATCAGATCTCATCTCAATCACCGTCACTCTCGAAAACAACAATACTCACACATATATACATATACATATAATTTATACATATACAGACTTATATCTAATAACCATAACTGCCCAAACAGAAGGGACTTTTTGTGTTTGTGTCTTTATTATTATTATTTTTTTCTGTGTGTGTGAAAAATTAAATCCTTCATCATTTTCATCAGATTCACCGTTGTTTGGTTTCAATGGAGATTCAATGTTAAAACTGAGTTTGCTCGGTTAGATTGCTGAAACATGGGCCAGAACTCGCCCAGTACAAACGACGGTGACAACTCAAATGCCAACTCCGACGGCACCGGACTATATCCGATCCGGGGTCGATTCCCATTCAAGAGAAACCCTAAACCTGCGTCTATACCTTTATCGAAATCATCTGCTGCAGTCATCAGCTTATCGGATCGGCGCCGATCTCACGTCCACGGAGGCCGATCCGTTGTTCCTCGGAAGCTGTGCTCAGTCAGGGGAACGTCGTTGTTCTACTTGTGTATATTGGTTGCTGTTTTTGCGTTTGCACTGGCATCGATGGTGCTACAGAGCTCGATAGCTTCAATGGTTTTCCGGCAGGGCGGCGGTGAGAGGATTGGGAGGACTGTGCGCGAGGGTTTGAAGTTCGGAAGTTCGCTGAAGTTCATTTCATCGAGGATCGATAGGAGTTTCGAGATTGAACGTGCAAGGCACAAGCCTCGGGTTGGAGTTCGACCTCCTAGGCTTGCAATTGTGAGTGTTTTAAGTTTTGTTTAGTTTAATGTACTGAGTATTGATGCTTTTACAGACGAAAACGACGACCACTTATTGAAATTTTTATTCTTCTTCGGTTTTCATACCTGATGTTCGGGAAGTAGAGAGAAAGGACATGTAGGATAGTTAGGGAAAGTAACAGGTTTTATGGGCCTATCGGGTTTGGTGTCTGGGTAGGTGAGGGAAATGCAATTGAGAACTATAAATAATGGAGATAGTGATTGCGTGAATTATTTGGTGCTTTTTTGTTAAACAAACGTCTTCACTGCTTCACCTTTTAAAATCTACATTGGTGGTCCTTAGCAGCAAAAGTAACCAGAGCTTCATATTTCTTAGTTTAAATAATATTTCTTTAGGATTTAACAAATAGAATGATTAAAGAACTAAAAAAAAAAAACTTGAAAGAAAGAGAATAGGGGAAATTAGAGAACCCAAAACAAGCTTGGTTTATGTATTCTGGTTCACTACTTTCACTACCCATATTTTGTGCTCCAATGGTTATGTGTCTATACATGCATGAACACTCATGATCTCATATTTACAACAGTGCCTTGTTTTGATCATTGTAAGATCTTAGGAAACATGGAGGATGACCCATTGTCATTGATGCTGCTTACTGTGATGAAGAATATACGAGGACTGGATTATATGCTTCAGGTGATTATTTCTGGAACTTCAGTACCTCTTACTATATGTCTATATCTATCTTTCTGTTTGCTGGTTTATGTTTTTCTATATGTGTGATTTTGTTATTTTGACTGGCCATGAAAACAACATCAAGCTATCGTTTTTCATCTGGAAGATCCATTATTCCATATGTAGAATTAAGTGTTTTTTAAGTAACCTAATGTTAGACTGATAAGATCATTGAAGTGATTTTCTTGATAGGGATATGCACAACTGCATAATTTTAAATTTCTTGTTGGGTGCATGTGCATATGTCCCTGTTAAGAAGCAAGGAAAATCCATTTGTGGAACTAGATTTCTAAATCACTTTAATTTTCATCTTCATAATGCTTCTTCCATGCAGATATATGCAACAGAAGATGGCAAAACAAAATCACTCTGGGAGAAGATTGTTGGCCAAGTCTCCATTCTAAGTCCTGAAAATTATGGTCATATTGATTGGTCAATGTATGTTTTCTCTCTCTCTTTCAATGCATTTTTCAACAATATGATTTGTCACTGATGATTTTAGAAAGTGTATATACTTTGTCACATTTACTGATGATTTCAGTAGATACAGCTACATAAACTTTGTTCTATCTATTGCTGCAGATTTGATGGCATCATTGTAAATTCTCTAGAAGCACATGATGCTATTTCAAGGTATGTGGTAGTTACTTTGAATTATCAAAATCTTTTGTTTTGAACTACTGAACTTGTACTTTCTCCATGAGTTGTGAGTTTTTTATATGTATGCAGCCTTATGCAGGAGCCCTTTTGCTCTGTACAACTCATTTGGATAATTCAAGAAGACACCCTTTCAAATCGCCTTCCTCTATATCAAGAATTGCCACATGAACATCTAATTACATATTGGAAGAATGTTTTTAGAAGAGCTGATGTGATTGTGTTTCCAGATTATTCTTTCCCGGTAATTTATCACCCCATTATGAGTTGTTATATTTTCAGGAACATCTTATTACATTGTTTCTTGAATTCAATCATGATTTATATAAGCATGTTGTCTCAGATGTTATATAGTGTGCTTGACACTGGAAACTTCTTTGTGATTCCTGGATCACCAATAGATGTGTGGGCAGCTGAAAGATACCTAAAAACTCACTCCAAATTTCAATTAAGGATGAAAAATGGTTTTGGTGAAGATGATATGATAGTTTTGGTTGTTGGAAGTTCTTTCTTCTACAATGAACTATCATGGGATTATGCTGTAGCAATGCATAACTTAGGACCTTTGCTTATCAAATATGCAAAGGAAGGCGATGTGGGCCCTTCATTCAAATTTTTATTCGTATGTGGGAACTCCAGTAATGCCTATAACGATGCTTTACAGGTATATATACGATTCTTTTTATATCCTTTCTTTTTTCAGTTCTTAAAGATCAAATTATCACAAGTTTTTTGTTTAATATTTGCAGGATATTGCTGCTCATTTAGGGCTCAACCGTGATTCGGTTAGACATTATGGATTAGATGCTGACGTGGACGAGATTTTATTAATATCTGATATTGTTCTATATGGTTCCTCTCAAGATGAACAAGGGTTCCCTTCATTACTCACTAGGGCCATGACATTTGGTGTTCCCATAATTGCCCCTGATTACCCCATCATAAAAAAATACGTAAGTTCAACATTATATCTACAGTATTTCAGTTAGGTGAGGTAAAAAATATGATTTTCTTTTTGTTCTTTTCTATAAAGATCTCTCAATCCCCAGGTTATTGATGGCGAAAATGGAATTATTTTTTCAAAAGACAAACCCGATGAGTTGATGAAAGCTTTCTTGCTTCTTATATCAAAAGGAAAGCTCTCAAATTTTGCCACTACCATTGCTTCTTCCGGAAGGTTGCTTGCTAAAAACATGCATGCATCAGAATGTGTTTCTGGTTATATAAAACTTCTCAACAATGTTCTTACACTTCCATCAGACTCCATGTTGCCACATTCCATTTCTCAATTATCACATGAATGGGAATGGGATTTGTTCTCAGAAGAAACAGATGACATGGCATATTTTATTAAAAAAGATACAAGAAATACGAGTGTAGTTTTTGATATTGAAGAACACATGACATTAATAATGGATTCAAGAAGCTCACAGAATGATCCCGAGATAATGGCAGAGGATATTCCAACCGAATTGGACTGGATTGTTTTAAGTGAAATCGATAGTTCAGAAGAAGTTGAAAGGGTAGAATTGGAAGAGGTACAAACCCTTATTAAAAACATAACTTCTTTTATGGGCACTTTTTTTTTTCTTCCATCAAGTCCTGTATGGATTGTTTCTTTTCTAGGTTGAATAAACCGTCTGAATGAGACTAAATGACCATTTTACCCTTTTCAAAATATTCATCAATCTTAGTTTCTTTTATCTAATAAGCATGGCGTGGCATTTAATTTGATGTAGATTGAGGGAAGAACAGATAAAAGCTATGGTGTATGGGATGAATTATATCGCGATGCTAAAAAAGCAGAAAAATTAAAATCTGAAGCAAATGAAAGGGATGAAGGGGAGCTAGAGAGGACTGGTCAACCTTTATGCATATATGAGATCTACAATGGAGCAGGGGCTTGGCCTTTTTTGCACCATGGTTCTTTATATCGTGGTCTAAGTCTAGTAAGTTACTTATAATATTCTTTTTTTTTTTTTTTTTTTTTTAAATTTCATTTGTTTAGATTTTATTTATGATTTTAGTTTTTTTGTACAGTCTACAAAATCTAGAAGATTGAGATCGGATGATGTGGATGCAGTTGGGAGGCTTTCTATTTTAAATGAGAGTTATTACAGAGATATTTTACTTGAAATGGGTGGCATGTTTTCAATTGCAAATCGGGTGGATAATGTTCATAAACGACCTTGGATTGGATTTCAATCATGGCGTGCTGCTGCAAGGAAGGTTAAAATATGTCCTTCTGTTGATGAAAAGACCAAAATGCCCTTCCGAAAAACATTCTGCTAACGTAAATTTTTGTTTCAGGTATCTTTGTCCTCGAAAGCCGAAAGGGTTCTAGAAGGAACAGTACAGCAGAAACATAAAGGAGATGTGATGTATTTTTGGGCCCACTTAGACATGGATGGGGAACTTGCTGGAAATGACCATATTTTAACATTTTGGTCCATGTGTGACATCTTAAATGCTGGAAATTGCAGGTAACATTCAACTTTCATACATGAATTATTTATTAATGAAAATACCTAAAATGCCCCTCAATTGAATGCTTGCAGAACGGCCTTTCAGGATGCTTTCAGAAGGATGTATGCATTGCCATCATATGTGGAAGCCCTTCCGCCAATGCCTGAAGATGGTGGCCACTGGTCTTCCCTTCACAGCTGGGTCATGGCCACCCCTTCTTTTCTAGAATTCATGATGTTTTCCAGGTAAATAAATTAAAATATAATAATAATAATAATAAACTATAAACAAAATGCATCCAAGTATTTTTTTTATACTAATTTGTTAAATTTTACTGCAGGATGTTTGCTGATTCTCTTGATAGTTTGCACATGAATTCAACTACAACCACTGAATGCCTGTTAGGGTCTTCCTTGAGTGAGGTATTCAAGATTAGAATAAATTGCATTTTTGGTCCCTGAGTGTGGCTGATTTTTTCAATTTTGGTCCTAATTTAAGGTTCTTGTAATGTTTTTTGGCACCAAAGTTGCAAAAATTAGCTATATTCGAATAAAGACCAGAATTACAAGAAAACTTTTGGGTTAATCTCATCAAAGACCTTGTATTTTGTGTATTTTCCGGATTAAACCTCAACTTTATTTTTTTCATTAAAGACCTTGCATTTTTTCATTTTTTCCGATCGGGCCCTTTTAGTCATTTTTCTCTAAAAAAGGTTGTAAAATGTGAGGGTTTTTTCAGGAAAAACTAAAAAAATTGAGGATTTATTTGGAAACATTTAGAAGGTTGAGGGTTTTTTTTTGGAAAAAAAGACAGTTGAGGGTTTTTTCGGAAAAAAGGAAAAAATATAAGGTTTTTTTCATGAAAAAAATAAAGATGAGGTTTAATCTTAAGAAAAAACACAAAATATAAGATTAACACAACTTTTTGAGACCAAAATTGCAAAAAGTCAGCTGTACTTATGGACCAAAAATATAATTTACTCTTTAGAATCTAATATGCTTTTCATTTTGTTTTACATTTTATAGAGTAAATTACATTTTTGGTCCATGAGCGTGCCTGATTTTTTTTTTCAATTTTGGGCCCAAAAGGTTTTCTTTTGCAATTTTGGTCTTTTTTTTTTTTTTTTTTAATAACACAGTTTTGGTCCCTGATCCAAGTAAAATATATTTTTGGGACCAAAATTGCAAAAATCAGCTATACTCAGGGACCAAAAATAGTCATTTTACTTAGAATAGGGACCGAAAAACATCACAAGAATTTCAAATAAGGACCAAAATTGCAAAATCGAGCTATACTCAAGGACGAAAAATATAATTTACTTTTAAGACTATACTATATCGTTTATGTTTTCATTTTGTTTTATATTTTTTATATTCTTTTAATAATTATCTTGTATGAATATTGCATACAGAAACAACATTGCTATTGTCGGATACTGGAGCTGTTGGTGAATGTATGGGCATACCATAGTGGTAGAACCATGGTTTACATTGACCCAAATTCAGGGTCATTAGAAGAGCACCACCCAGTAGAAGATCGAAAAGGGTTAATGTGGAGTAAATATTTTAATGCCACTTTATTAAAAAGCATGGATGAAGATCTAGCAGAGGCAGCTGATGATGGTGATCATCCATATGATTATGAAACATGGTTATGGCCAAGAACAGGAGAAGTACATTGGCAAGGTATATACGAAAGAGAAAGAGAAGAAAGATATAGAATAAAAATGGACAAAAAAAGAAAACAAAAAGAGAAAATACTCGAAAGGTTAAAGTTTGGATACAAGCAAAAAACACTTGCCGGATAGAAAGATTCTAAATTCTAAATTCTAAATTCTAACCGTGAAACGGTTCCCAGTGAACCAAGATTGGTTCTCTTGGTTCACTGGGTTGGGGTTGTGATCAGTACACCATATACAGATCACATCCCCAACAAAAGATATACAAAGGCGGCTGATTGTTATTATGGTGGGTATATATAATGTGTTGGCCGTACAAAGAGAAAGAAGAAATACAGAGGTACAACCACAGGTGTACTTGCATTCTTTTGGTTCAAATTATTTTTGTTATTTTGGTAGAAAGTTGAACACGTGTATTATTCTTATTTTTTTTACTCCATGTATATTATACATCTAGACTACAGATTTTTGTTTTCATTTCATAGACCACTTTTTTTTGAGTTAATTGGTGGGTAATTTGTGAGTTTTTTGTGGATTTGTTAAATTGTAGGTTTGCGGAATGGCAGAATAATTAAGGGTGCGTTTAGTTGCGGAAAATAAATTGACCGTTTTCCGGAAAAAATTTCCAAGAAAAATGAGAATTTTGAAAACGCGTTTAGTTCGTCTATTTTTCTAATTTTTCACGGAAAATGAAAATTTTTCGTTTTCTAAAATTACAAAGAAGTTGGAAATTTTTTGGAAAACCAATAATCATTGTTTTTCATATTTTTCTAATTCCATTTTTTTTGTAAAATATAAACATCCACTCTCATCCACCTTTACATACCCTCACCTTTAACACCCCCAACCCACCACATCCCTACCTACACTCACTCCCAAACCCACCCCTACAGACACTCACACACCCACAAACACACACACACCCATCCTTACAAACACACACACACACACCCACTCCCACAAACACACTCCCACCCACACCCCCACAAACACACACACACCCACAAACTCACACTCACACCCACACCCATCCCCACCCCACACACACACACATACACCCACCCAACACCATTACTACAATCACCGACTTACCATCACCATCACCATCACCATCACCAGCACCGCTACCCCATCACCAGCACCACCACCGCCGCCATCACCACCACTGCCATAATTGCCGCCGCCACCACCACCGCCTATCATCACCACCATCGCCGCCACCCCGTTGCCACCGCCGCCACCACTGCCCCCCACCGCTGTCCCCACCACCGCCACCGTCCCCACGCCCACCCTACCACCGCTACCGTTTTCTAAAAATGAAAACCGATAGAAAAAATACACATCTAAAAACGTTTTCTAATTTTCTAAAACTGAAAATGAAAAATGAATAAGTTTTAATTAAACACGTTTTCTAAATTTTCCAATGAAAACCGGAAACGGAAAACGAAATATGAAAAGGGAAAACGAAAAACAGAAAACGAAAACTGTTTTTCCATAACTAAACACAACCTAAGAATAACAATATCTCAATAAAAAGAGTAAATGATTGAATGTTTATGTTGTAGTAGTGATCAAGTTTAATGGTTGTGAAATGTAGTCTTTTTTGCGTGTTTAATTTACTATTCAGAAATAAAAACGTTAACAGATAATTTAGAGCAAACTCTCTAAATATATTTAAACAAAATCTTTAATAAATAATTCCGTTTTGATTTAGATGACAAAACATACAATCAAATCTAGGTGTGTGTGTGTAAGAGATGAGTTTGAAACAAAAAAAAAAACACACACATAATCGAATTTTAGACTTGTGTGCTTTTAACGATTGTATGTGTTTGAATGCGATTGTTTATGAGTGTGTTTTTGAGTGTTTTGATCGGTGAATATGATTGGAAAATTCATTTTTGGTTGAAAATTCTTATTTCAATGATCATATGCTTTGAAGAAAAAACATAAGAGGGTAAATATAAACAAAAACAAAAGTATTTTATCATTATAAGTAATTAACTCATATAATTTATACTATATAAAGAGACAAAACGTATAATTTTGAAAATCCTATAACCTTTCAAAATTCTATTAAATTTCCACCATCTTTTAAATTTTAATAATACATAAATTGGCTAGTTAATAAGAGATAAATACAAAAAATATATGTATAGTCTTCTATAAATTTTTGATAATAATAAGTGGTTTTAAACTTAATTAATAATAAGAATTACCTACACTACTTTATTTTATAAATATTGATATTTTAAGTAATGAGCTAAAATTTAAAAAATAGTCAAATAAATAATTTTTAAATCATTTAATCATAACAAGAATTAAAACTAACATTAAATAGAAATTATATTTTATTTTATTTACCAAATAAGCTATAAATAATTATTAAATAACTTGATTTTAATAGATGTTTATTTTATCATATTGTTCAAATTAAATATATCAATATAATATAAAAATTTTAAATTTATAGTTAATGTAACGTATAATTATAAAATTTTAACAACATATAATTATAAAATTTTAATTATATATTTTTAATCTGATAAGACAACGTAATTACATCAATATACTATAATTTTGATGTACAAAAACATTTATAGGTGCAAAAAATTAGTGTCGCCATTTAAAACGAAAATGAAAAACATAAAGTGATAAAAGCATCCTCGGAAACACTCCCTTTCACACTCCCACTCCCCCTTCTAACTGTGTAGGGTTTCCAGTCACTCCCAACTCCTAAGCTTTCATCTCAACCGTTCTCCGACACAGCCGATACACACTTGAAGGTAATTTACACATACACACACACACACACAGATGTCTGACATCTCCTATGGTTTTACTTTCATCTCAATTTTCATTTCGAGTTGTCTTCGATGTTTAATTATTTCTCTTCCTCTCTGTTCTTCCCGCATTCAATATCTCATACACATGTTAATTGAGACTGGTTATCACTGTCAATCCAAATTCTCAGGTGAAAATGTACATCAGTTGAGTTATTGGCTCTCGACAACTTTTTAAACTAAATCGAGGCGTTTGATTTGAAAACATGGAGCGCCATTTTTCAAACTGAAAATCCATCTTGGATGAACATGTTCTCATACATTTCATATGATAGCTCTAGGGTTTCAACTTAAAAGTAGCAACTGAATTTGCCTAATCATTACGTAAGTGGTGTATGGTAGTGAAGTGGAATCATTAGTGTCAACATGATAGGGTTTAGACATCTTGTTTTTTGTGTGCCTTATCTTGTTTGTTAAGAATATGACATTGATCCTGTTCTGTAGGTTTTGCCAATTGGTGGTTGTTGATCAACTCTTTCTTGATCCAATGCATGTGAGTAGAGGAGGTTGGGTTGGGCCAACATTTGCTTTAGCAAAGTTTGATGATTCTTTTGAAGGGAAGAAATCAGTAATTCGGCGTTCAAAAGAGGAAAGGAAAGGAATGGTTGAGACTTTTATCAAAAGGTGTTTTCATGTCTTTCTGACTCTGTTTCTTTTGGCTTGATCAACAACACATTCATACAAACTGAAAGATGATAATTGATAAGATTTGGTTTGGTTTTTGCAGATACCAGAAATCAAACAATGGAGATTTCCCATCACTGAATCTGACACGTAAGGAAGTTGGTGGCTCCTTTTACACTGTGCGTGAAATTGTTCGGGAGATAATTCAAGAAAACCGGGTGCTCGGCCCACCTAAGTCACCTCCAGGTGATAAAAACATGGAGAAACTAGATAGCTTCTTAGAACACAACCCATTGGGTTCAATGTCTGTTGATCTCCATGTACATATGGTAACTCAAGAAGGATCTATTGTGGATGATCAAAAAGATGGATTAGTAACAAATCAATCTGAAAAACATGAAATATTAGAAAATGTAGTTGTAGGAGCTTCTTCTTCTTCTTCTTCTTCTTCTTCTTCTTCTTCTTCTTCTTTAGGACATGTAACCATGGAGGAAAAGGATACTGAAAACAGGGAAGTGGTAGATATACAGTTGGAGGAAGAAAATCATAAGAATCAAAATCATTCCTCAACTGAAGAAAACATAGATGTTAAACTTGAAGATAGTCTTCCTGTTGAAGAAAAAGTGAGTTCCTTTTGAACATACATATATTTATACATAATTACATATACATACATACCTTCATATTAACATTGTATCTCATGTTAGCAGAATGTAAATGGTGCATACACTCCGAATCCCGACACCATTTCTGTACAACAATCGACACTTGAAGATGATGATGGAAGAAATGCAAATTTGAAGAAATCAAGTGATCACAGCAATTCCCAAAAGAGAAGAACCACAGCAACATTAAACAGAATAAATCTGTAAGTACCACGTGTGTGTGTGTGTGTGTTGTACTTTGAGTCACACGATTGAATGATTGATTAACTTAATTTTTTTAAGCAGCGAGTCATGGGAAGCTGCATCGAAGAAATCTAGTGGCCAAGAAACTCACCGATTTGTGACATTCATCAAGGCTTTCATTACTGCATTTGTCAAGTTTTGGTCGGACGACTAGTATATTATATATTTGTAAAATTATCTTATCAGTTTTAACTTTAGTAAAATGATTATTTATTTGATTTTGATTTTGATTTGTAAAATTATCTGATTTAATCTTTGTTGTTAACATCGTTTTTATCTGATTTGATCCAACCTAACAAACATAAATCAAATAGACAATTATAAGAAAGTACCAACTGACTAGATAAACTAATACTCACATTTCATAAGACAAGTAGGTTCACATAGGTTGTAAATTAAAGGCTTAATTACATAAAAGATCATTTTAATGCTTTTTTAGAATTGAATCTCAATTTTTTTGTATTCTTTTAAAAAAACCCTTACATTTTTTCCAATTTTTCTAAATTTGCCCTTACACTTTTCAGTTTTCGATTTAGCCTTTACATTTTTTTTTTAAAATCTTTTTTGGTTTTTTTTACTTTTTACTATTTTTTGGATTAAACCTCTAATTTAAAAAAAAACCCTTACATTTTTGTTATTTTGAAAGATTTCTTGCACTCGTTTTTATAACTCCATGATGCTCCCCAACTTCATTATACTTTAAAAGTTCACAAATTCAATTTAATACGAAACTTTGTTTTAGGTAAACAAAAACATTAGTATCTGGTTTTATTTGCAATTGATTACAAAATAATCATATTATGTTAGTTAATTTGATACAAGAGCATTTACGAATATGATAAAGCATTAGGTTGAGATTTCTAACACTTTTTCTTTTAGGTTGTTATTCCCCTTATACTCTTGCCCTAAATTAATTAAAATTGGACAAAAGTGGTGTGATATGATTGATTTTCAACCATTTTTCAAACAACCATTGTATTTGTGAAAATTGAAATGACCATCAAAAATTGCAAATTATTATGTTTTTAATCATGAAACTTGTCCATTGTACCTTGATTTTTAGTTATGAATTGAATAAGTTGTTAAGTATGGTGGGTATTATGTGATTTCACCGTATACAGTGATTGTTTTGCAAATAAATGGCAGCTACATTCATTGACATTCGAATTAGATCTTTTATAAACAAAATCAAGTTTAGTAGTTGTTTTGCTTACCAAAGTATAACAATTAGCCAAATAAAAATCATAGGTGAGGATACTTTCTGGTTAAAACTTTGTAAGAATACATTAGGCTTGGTATGTACACAATATAATGTATTCTGTAAGAATACATTATGCTTTGTATAATATATTCTATTAGAATAAACTACATCTCAAAATTAAAATATATTGTGTTTTTTATTTTACTTCACTTTAAGAAAAAAAAAAAGACAATACTCCTGGTGAATATATAGGTCCCGTTTGATAAACATATTTTCAGATCCAAACAGATATTTCTTGCTGAATGGACCGAAAGACTGTTTGATATGCACAAAAAATAGGTCTTTCTCGGTAAGATATGTCTTTCCCAGAAAGCTCCGAAACCATATCTTTCTGGCCGAATAGGCTAGAAAGACAATTGTGCCCCAAACTCCGCATCTTTCTTTATTGAATTAATATATATTAATAAATATTATTTTTAATATATACTCCCTCCGTCCCAAAATTATTGTCCACAGACAAAAAACACATAGATTAAGAAAAGCAATCATTAGTTTTGTCTTTTTGAGTAAAATCACCCTCTTACCCTTTTCTAAAACCAATGGGAAATGTGCATTTGTAATTATTCAAGTTTACTTTATTAAATGTCAGGGGTAATATGGTAAAAGTGTATACCTAATTTTGGTAGTGGACAATAATTTTGGGACAAACCTAAAATAATAAGGTGGACAATAATTTTGGGACGGAGGGAGTAATATTCATGTATTAATTGATATTATTTTATTCTGATTATTAATTTCTTTTAAATAATTATTTTTTTATTTCCTTTTTATGGATTAATTTTTTATTGGATTATTACTTTATTGGATTATTAGTTTCTTTTAATTAATATTTATAATTCATTTTTAGCGGATTAATTTTTTTTGGGACAACACCATCATGTTAATATATTTTAAAATTTTTCATCCATCCCACCACTATCGGACATAAACCGGGTCAAGAATCACATGTTGAGTTATAAAAAAATGGCTAGAAAGAATAACAACGTAACATCAACTTGAAAAAAACAATAAACTAGAAACAACTTAATCGACATTCTGTTTGGATTTTTAAATGATTATTGTGTAATTTTGATTTTGTATGACAATTTGTATGTTTTTATAATTATTCAACAACTTCATCCATCACAGTATAGAACATCAGGGTAGTATTGTGTAACATCCCAAAAATCATGACCGAAAATTTCATTTTAAATCATTAAATAAAACCATAGTTATCAAATCATTTCATCAAAGCATAGTCAAAACATCTCAAAACATAATTATCAGAGTATCAAAACATCAGAGTAAACATCCCAGACTAAAACATCTTGGTGTGTGCAATGCAGTCATCCCGAGCTCTTCTCTCTGCAACTGGAAATACCTGAAACCAAAAACTGAAAACCGTAAGCACGAAGCTTAGTGAGTTCCCCATACTACCACATACCATACACATAACCACATATACTGGGCACCCACCCCTACATCGGGCCCCGCCCGACATCGGACTCTGTCTGGCATCAGGCCCCAGCTGGCATCGAGCCCCGCTCGGTATACAGATCTGTTTCTCTTAAGCCCCGCTCGGTATACAGATCTGTTTCTCTTAGGCTGAAAGGTGGAGATTAGGATGCTTAAATAGGGTACAAAAACCCGGATTTAGGGTTTCCCAAACCCAGACCAACTCGTCGAGTAGGTCTCTCTACTCGCCTCCAAAAACAAATTCCTACTCGTCGAGTTATTCCCCATGGACTCGACGAGTAGAACTTCAATTTGCTTATTGATTTTCCTAAATTAGCCTTTGGTTTCCGGGTGTTACATATCATCATTTTTCATTATTCAGCACAGTCAATCAGATGTACAATCAAACAACATGGTTTCTTTCCCAGTCAGAAAACTTTCCCATACAACACTTTCCCAGACAACACTTTCTCGGACAAAAACTATCAAACGGGACCATAATTTGATTCTTTTATTATTTGTGATTTTTTTGTAACTACAAATTAAAAGAATTCTATATCATTCTTACAAAATGAATCTTATTCTATTTTCAGGTCAATGATAGAATATTATTTCAAAACTGAAGCTTTGTTTTGGTGGAAACGAACCAAGGAGAGGGAACATGATGATTAAAGGCTTGAAGGTTGTATTTTAGAGGTGGTTATAATCTAACAATGTGGTATGCATTCTATTAGAATTACTAAATTTTGTTTAATTATTTGTCATATAAAAACATTCTCACAAAACGTTATGCTTACATAATTCGATTTCATGGTATTTATTCTCATTAAATGCGTGAAACGATCATGATGATCACAATTTTGAAGGTTAGATGATGGTCATCGGCATATGGTGTGTGAGATTGAGATGAGAAATAGTCATCACATGAAGATTTTCAAGAATGTCAGTGAATTCTTATAGAATGGAGAATATACAAATTACTAACTCCAAAGCATTGTATTCTTATAGAATATGATTGTAATGTGGTTTTTTGTTCATCTTTGGACCTTGATTCTTGAATAATGTTAATAATAAATGGGTATTCTTTAAGAATGTATTTGTCATTTAATAAATGGTTCAGTAATTTGTTATATTTTTAAGAAGTTCATCGAATAAAAATATGTATTCAGTCAGAATATATACTATGAATGTTATTATTCTTGAGGATACTCATAAAAGTTTTCTTTAAGCATGTACTCTTTTAGAATAAATTTAAATTATTTCAAAAAAAAAAACTCATCCTTTGATTTTCGGCAGAATCCCTACAAATATGATATTTCCTTTTATAATTCTCTCGTAAAAGAGTGAAATACCCTTATAACATTATTTTTAGAAACTGAACAATTAATTAATTACAATATAATTATGAAAATTTTAATTAAATAATTAGTCGAGATTTATTTTTTCTTGCATTCTCATTGCTCCATTCATCCACACAATAGTTACATAGAACACAATAACCTAACCAATATATCTATACTACATTATAAAGGAAATCTCACTATTTCTAAAAATAAATTCAATATAATAATATTATTTTTTTAAGACGTTAAAGTGATTAAGCTTAACGTACAATCAAACGTCAATAAAATAATATTATTCTATCAATACTCTTACTTCAATTGTTAGATCGTCCAAACATATAAAACACAATTTACAACTACCTAATGTATAATTAATTGAAACTCATTTAAATGGTCCTATCTTTTCCCCATATATCGCCCGGTATACCCATCTACGTTTTCCACTTATATGTTGATCGAGTCTTGTTGATGCCGAGATATCTGCAAATATTTGTGGTCGCCTTCCCTCTTATCATTTTATATGACTAATAGACTCTACAAATTATATTGAATCATGGAAGCACATCCATTTCCTTCCGGTTAAACCCTAACTATCGTCAACAACACCACCCCTCTCCTTATTCTATCCTCCCGTCGGCGACCTGCACCATTGCTCGACACAGTTTCCTCTTAATTCGAAAAATCTGGCCTCCTTTTTCCCTTATATTCGCCGGCATCTTCTTATCTATACACTGAAAGGGGGTGCAATTGAAGATAATCTATCAGTCATCACCAACACTACCCTCTCTTCCATCTCTCCACCCGCCAACGACCTTCACCATTGTTTTTATTTCCTATGAAATCGCCTCTGTCTTCACCTCTGCACATCTCGCCACCCGCGGAGCAAAAAAATAGAATGATCGGATTCCCTTTTCCCCACACCCACACGCAATACCCTCGATTATACCAGTCAAGTCCTTCGTTCCACGACTCTTCGTTTTCCGCCCCATTTTAAAGCAGCTTATCTTCCCCTAGATAGGAAACCCTAAATCCCTTCTCACAACCTTCAAACTATTCACAACTCTTTAACACTAACACTAGCCGTCACTCACCAACACCACGACAACCATTTTTGTAACATCCCAAGTTCGGA